ATTCTATTTATATTCACATTCACATTTACATTCACATTCGGCAGGCGCTCTTTTCCGTAGCGACGTACAGAAGTGCAAGCTTGGCTACTCAGAAAACTCATCCTTTTGCTGATGCAAACTAGCCTGAAGAGTCTGAACATGCAAACTAAAGCACTGCTAGCAACAGGAGTCACCTTATCCTAAATGTTGTTAATGAGCCAGGACCATTTAGGATAAGGTGGTGCCCAAAACTTGCTTCTTTAGATTTGCGCTATAGCTTTGATGCTAGTGCAGCTAACAACTTAGCAAACTATCTCAATTAGATGTGATTCTGATACTCTATGACTCTATGATGTGTTCTCAATGAAAGTAGACAAATGACAGACACAATCCAGGCTTTAATGGCTGCTGCTGCTCTTTTTAGCTGCTCTGTGTAGTTTTAATGGCCTTGTAGCTTGCAAAGAAGTAAACTTCAGACATCAAACCTGACTGATTCCTTTCTGATCTCTGGCATGAAGGAGAAAACCTTTTGTCATGATCAAAACACTTATCAGAAAGATGACATTGAGTTTGCGCTTGTAGACACCAAATAAGTCAATTTCACAGCCTGGACATCAGCAGAGATGAGTGTAGATGCCCGATATCTCCATAACGCCCCCCTTCCCCCCAGTCATCTGCCTGGATTTGAGTGGAACGGGTGTGCTCTGCCCCCAAACCCCCCCACCCCCTACAGTTTCCACGGCCCCTCTGAGCGCCCTGCGCCGTCCCACCTGCCAGGCTCTTTTGTGAGCATGATCCTTTTCATTTCAATGACAAAGTTAACTCTCCCAGCCCCAGGAGTGGGGGAGGTGTGTGGGATGACTTTACGACCGGAGTGAGGAAACATAGCTTTGACTATCCAAAGGAAGCCATCTGACAGAACATATGACACCGCCAGATTTCAGCTATACCACACATGTTCCAGCCTATAGAGCAGTTTAAGCGAGGCTGTAAAACTATTTGTTTGATTATGGCCTGATTCCAATCCAATACCGGGTAATTTCGGGCCCTAACGTGGTAAAAGATAGACGAGAATTGATTCTAAAAGCAAATTGGTGAAATTCGTCATGTGGCGTCAACAGCGGGCGTGTTTGAATGCGGTGATTTGTAGAGCTGTTTGTTTCTCCCGCTTGCCAAACTGTACAAACCACTGTGTCTTTGCACACTCCTACAACTCCACTTTAGCACCAATATCTGCACACAAGGTGCAAAGCATCTGCTCCGCTACCGAATGGCCTTGTGTGGCTTATGAACGAAACCACCCACTTGTTTAAAACGCTCAGATTCGAACTTCTTTGAGCATGAAATGCGATTAGCTTGTTGTAATGACATTAGATTTGAACGAATATTCGCACATTTCAATGAGTGTGTATGAGCGAAAGGGGGGTAGGCAGAGAGAGAGAGAGAGGGAACGAGAGGGGGAGAAATGGAAAGAATGGGCTTGCAAGCCCGTGGATAACTTGATTATGTTCGCAGAGGGCGTATTGTCGGTGCCAATTACAGTGGATGGAAGTTTTGTCGTGTGAACACCAGCCATCCGCTAGGAAGCCTGCATATCGTTGGTGCTTTATACATTGTGTACTATTCAAGCATGGAATCATTTCCCTTTTGATGGATTTTCACATTAGTGCTGAAACTCTACAAGGATGCTGTCTATACTGGTTAGTGCCAGTGGTGGAATGCCCAAGTGGTCAAGCGACTAAGAGTTTGTACAGTCTTTGCTTGTCAGTGTATCCACATTGCTAAAAATGAACAAAAAATCTAAAGATTCTTGGCATGGAGGCATCTTTTCCACAGCGATGTACAGAAGTGGGAGCTTAGCTCCTTGGAAAACTCATCCTTTTGCTGGTGCAAATAAGCCTGAGAGTCTGAAGGTACCAAGAAGCTAAAGCACTGCTAGAAACAGGAGTCATCTTGTCCTAAATGCAGTTAATGAGCCAAGGCCATTTAGGATGAGGTGGTTCTTTGAAGAATTATCCATTCGAGGGTTCTTTTGGGAGCAAACCTGGTTCTTCTATGGCAGTGGGTTGCAGTGGGTGTCATGAAGATACAGATTTTTATTTTTAAGAATGCAGTTTTATTATTCAGCCGTATCAGGTTCATCTCATATTGGCTCTAATCACAAGGTCCTCATGTGAAAATGCTGAGATGGGATGATTTGTTTTGCTCTGGATGTTTTTCACCAAAAGCATGAAGTTATTTTTAGGCTCCAGACATCCATAATTCCAATGGTGGTCTTACTGACATCTAAATTCTCCACATTTTGTTACTATTCTATAACTAATGTGGTGTTTCTAATGTTTTGTTATTTTGCATCCAGTTTCTGGTCTTGCATATCTGCCTTGTTTATCGTGTTTATTTTGGACAGATACATAGAGCTGTACTGAACTCAAATATCACCAATGGAAAGCCAGTCCTTCAGTGTATGTTCCTACAAGCATTTCGAGGAGAACCTTTTTAGCTGGACATTCATCATGTGGTTTAGAGGGGGTCAGTGTTCTCAGAGCCCAAATGAAATGATGTCCCAAAAACTGAATGCTCAAACAACCCTATTGTAGCCGCGTGCCTTCATAATGGGGGTGTGTGTGTGGAGGTCTGGAGAACGAGCTGCTGTAATTACTGGGTTGGATTGTCTGGACCCCTTTGCACCAGATGGCTTGCGATTTGCTTGCTTACAAAAACCTCCCAGTCGCACGTGTTTGCTTTGTGTGAGTGTGGGCGAGGATGCAAAGTTCCTAAGTCGTAGGAATGAAATTATGCAGCAAGCTGGGGTTCACCAGAATGACCCCTGGATGAAATGGCATTTGGTGAGGTGGGTATTGGGAGATTATTCGGGGGGTTGTGGTGGGATCCCCTTTGTCCAGCGATTCACCACGCGCACGTGCACATTCTCTCCAATATCTCTCCCCATTCAGCCCCAGTTCAGCCCTCGAGCATTTCAAACAAGCCATAAAAATGCACTGGGAGAGTGAACACAGCAATGATCTGGGCTTTACTCACAGTTACACTCATGTCACCCACCTCCTAAAGTGAATGGAGTTTAAATTGCAAGCAGGCCGCCGTGAGCAGCGCAGTAAAAGTAAAAGCATGTAGAGCATATCGTCGAAGTGTTGTTGTACTGTTTTTAGGTGCATTGTGCAAACAGACCAATGGAAATTGTCCGGAAAAAGTTGTCATTACGTTAAGGAATTACCTTAAGTTAGCATTTTGGGTTTTCTTATGATAGCGATGCAGAAAAAGCATGTGCTCTGAGCTTTGAATTTACTCTTCACACAATATACACTATCAATCAAAGGTTTGGCATCACTTTTTCAATAAATTAGTCAAAGACATGTTAAATGATTAAAATATGATGCTGCTAATCTAACAACATAATGAATGAGAAAGCTGTATAAGATTATAAATTAAGTTATAATAAACTTATAAGGTATACTAAAATAATGAAGTTGTCCAGAACTTCTTGGACTTGAAAAGTGGTGAAATCTCAAGGCAGATAAGAAATTAGGCAACGACTATAAACACACAGCTAGAGCGCATTGTTTATCATTCAATAACTTCCCAAAAGCTATTAAATAAAACATCTTGCAGTCTTTAGCTTATAGTCTTTCAATGCACATTCGATAAGTTACTATTAAATAAAATACAGCAGTTGTTATTAGTTGTGATTCTGAGTGATAGTGTGACTGTGTTGGATGCATGTTGGAGAGGAATGCCACATAATTCAGCACATTATTCTGTATGTAGAGTACAGAAACACAGGAAGCACATAAAGAATGATGTGAGGGCAGTCAGCACTGCAGAGCTCAATAATAAACAGTGTGGAGTCATTATTACATTATTATTACACTCAGAGATGCACTGAGCTGAACACAGGACAGAAAGACTCCTTTAAAGAGACACGAGTAGCATTGTTTATTGTTGTGGTTGAGTTTCAGCTCCACCCCAGTCACTGATCTCACTCTGCTTTTTTCTTCCCCTACTCTTTTTCTTCTCTTTGTATCTTTCTCTCTTTACAATTGTCTTCTATTTCTTTTTCTTTTCTGTTTTCTCATTCCCTCTTCCTTCCTTCTTTCTCTCCTATTTTATCTGTATTTTTTAACTTTCTTTTTGTTTCCACCTCTCTCTCTCTCTCTCTCTCTCTCTCTATCTCTCTGCTATCCTTTTTCTTTTCCCTCTCTATTCTCACTCTTTCCCTTTAATATCTTTCTTTCTCTCTCCTCTCTCTCTAAAATCCTCTTCGTCTGTCTTTCCCTTTCTCTTGTTCTGTATTTTTTAGCTTTCTTTGTGTGCTTTTCCCTCTTTCTCTCTTTTCTTTCTTTTTCCTCTTTTCTGACTCTCTTTCCCGTCCTTCTCTTTCTTTCTTCCGTATTTCCCTCTCTCATTCTCTCCTTCATTCTCTATCCTCACCTTTCTCTTGTTCTGTATCTTTTAACTTTCTTTTTGTGCCTTTCTTTTCTTTTCTGGCTGGACAGCCGTGTGCCGAGGCAGGGCGCGCGCGCGTGTGTGGTAGAAGGGGGGCAGTCCTGCTTTTTGGAGGAAGCAGGGGGTTTTGTGTGTGTGTGTGTGTGCGCGCGCGCGCGTGTGAGCTGCGGTCTCGGAGCTCAGGGGCCAGCCAGTCTGCTCAGAGTCACAAGGAGCGCGCACACACACTCCGCGCCGCTGCGCCTCCCACCCACACACACACACACACATTCGCTCACTCACTGGCTCTCGCCCGCTCGCGCGGCTGTGTGTGTGTGTCCGCAGCCCCTGCATGGAAGTCCCGACGCCTTCTCGAGGGATCTGAACGCCGACGCTTCGGGGCTTCGCTCTTCATCATCCTCATCTTCGTCTCCGGATACGCGCGGAGCGACTCCACAAGAGGATTTAATAACATGCGCGAGCTTTAACGAGACGCCGCAAAAAAGCAAACCAGCCGTAGCAGCGTTGGGATTACCCATTGCGAGTGCTTGTTGTTTACGAGCGCGTGCGTGTGCGCGAACATGAGCAGCGCGGCCCCGCTCCTACTCTGCGCCGCTCTGCTGCTTTTGCTGCGGCTGGCCGCGCCGTCGGCGCCCGGGAAGACCGTGCGGTACCGCGTGCTGGAGGAGCAGCGCGTGGGCACGGTGATCGGACGGCTGCTCGAGGACGCCGCGAGCGCGCTCTCCGGTCTGCCCAGCTCGGTCTCTCCGCGTTTCCGCGCGATGAACGGCGGGGCGACGCCGCTACTCTCCGTGCGCGAGGAGGACGGCGAGATCAGCGTGGCGTCGCGCATCGACCGCGAGGCGCTTTGCGCGCAGCAGCCCAACTGCACCATCGAGCTGGACGTGGCCACGCTGCCCACGGAGCACCTGCGGCTTTTCCGTGTGCGCGTGGACGTGCTGGACGTCAACGACCACGCGCCGCGGTTCGCCCGCGCCGTGGTGCCCGTGGAGATCTCCGAGAGCGCCGCGGTGGGTACGCGCGTACCGCTGGACGGCGCGTGGGACCCGGACGTCGGCGAGAACGCGCTGCGCTCCTACTCGCTGGCGCGCAGCGACCACTTTCGGCTGGAGGTGCGTGCGCGGGCCGACGGCTCGCGTCGAGCAGAGTTGGTGGTGGCGCGCGAGCTCGACCGGGAGGCGCGCGCCGCGCACGAGCTCCAGCTCACGGCCGCGGACGCGGGCGCGCCGCCGCGCACCGGCTCCACGCTGCTGCGCATACGCGTGCTTGACTCCAACGACAACAGCCCGGCCTTCGAGCAGCAGGCTTATGCCGTGAGCGTGCCCGAAAGCGCGCCCCCAGGCACGCTGCTCGTGGACCTGAACGCCACGGACCCAGATGAGGGCAGCAATGGCAAGGTTGTTTACTCTTTCGGCACTCACGTGGCACAGAAAATCCTAGACACCTTCCGAATTGACCCAGAGACTGGCCATCTGACGCTGGTCAAGAAGCTGGACTATGAGGCCTCTGCGTCCTATGAGATCGATGCCCAGGCACAGGACATGGGGCCCAACTCCGTGCCAGGCCACTGCAAGGTAAAGTCAGGTCGAGTTAATGTTTACAGTCTCCAATAGAAGTGAAATTCTGTTGGCACCCAATGTTGAAGCAGAGGGAGGAGGAGGTGGTGGTGCTTCAGAAAGCAAGCCCAGTTAGCCAGATAACCCTGCAGAAAAAGGACCGTGAGAAACTATTAGGGTTAAAACTTAATGGTTTTGCTTTCTAAAGGAGATTAGGTCAATAGTTTACAACAGAGACCACTAGTTTCCTGTAGAACACATTTAATGGATTTCCTAATAGGATCTAAATGTGTTCAGAATAAGCCATTGGTCACATGTTAAACCGTTAGAAACACTTGATGGTTTGTATGGGCTTTTAAAGCAGGGAACCTAACCACAATGAAGCCAGGCCAACAGGAGGAGACCTAACACATATTTGTATTGAATAATCCTCACTTTGGGCTTAAGCTATCCTGCTATCCAGCTAAACCTGTTTTGTGAAATTACCACCTAGGACAAAACCATACAATAACAAAAACTTAAATAACAAGATAATCCAAAAGAAAACATATAGAACATCTAGATGTTGAAAAGAAATGCAAAATTGCTTAACCTTAAAGTGTATTGTGAATCCTAATTGCAGGTTGTGGTCAAGGTGGTAGATGTAAATGACAACAAGCCAAGGATCAGTGTCAACCTGATGAGCCAGGGCAAGGAGGAGGTGGCCTATGTGTCTGAAGCAGCACCAGTGGACACCTTCGTGGCTTTGGTTCGCGTGGACGACAGTGACTCGGGCCCAAACGGAGAGGTTTCCTGTCGACTGCATGGGCACGGCCACTTCCGGCTACAGAAGACGTACGAGAACAACTATGTTATCCTGACCAACGTGTCACTGGACCGCGAGAAGCGCTCTGAGTACAGCCTGACGGTCATCGCTGAGGACCACGGCTCTCCAAGCCTGTCCGCGGTAAAGCACTTCACGGTGCAGGTGCAGGACGAGAACGACAACCCGCCGCGCTTCGAGAAGGGCCGCTATGAGATCTTCAAGTCAGAAAACAACTCGCCTGGTGCCTACCTCACCACTGTGGTGGCTGACGACCCGGATCTGGGCGCCAACGGCCAGGTGACCTATTCCATCGTGGAGAGCCTGGTCCAAGGCAGCTCCATCTCCACCTACGTGACCATAGACCCATCCAACGGTGCCATTTATGCTCTGAGAAGTTTCGACCGCGAGGAGGTAGGCCGGCTAACGTTCACTGTGCAAGCGCAAGATGGAGGGGGTGGAGCCTCTTTGAGCAGCAACACCACAGTGGTCATCACTGTGCTGGATGAGAATGATAACCCTCCAGTCATTGTTTCGCCACTGCTTAGCAACCGCACTGCAGAAGTGCCACTGTGGAGGCGGGCGGAACCAGGGCACCTAGTGACAGTCATCAAGGCCACTGACCGGGACTCTGGGGCCAATGCTGAACTTACCTGCTCCATCGTCGGTGGAAACGAAGAGGGGCTCTTTCTGATGGACCCTCGGAGGTGCGAACTGAGAACGAATGCCAGCTTGGAAGTTTCTCCACGGGATGCTTTCGACTTAGCCATCCTGGTGCAGGACCGCGGTGCAACCGCCCGGCTTTCGGCCCGTGCTATCCTCCATGTTATATTGTGTGACCACCCTGAGTCCTACCCTCTCGTGCCCCCCTCCGATGGCACAGGCCAGACCCCCTTGGACGTTTCCACCATTGTCATTATCTCCCTAGGAGCCATCTGCGGCGTGCTGCTGGTTGTCATGGTGGCATTCGCTACGCGCTGCTCTTCTCGTGACCAGAAGGACCCGCGCCACTCGTACAACTGCCGAGTGGCCGAGTCCACCTACCAGAACCACCCTAAGAAGCCGGCCCGGCAGATCCACAAAGGCGACATCACTCTGGTGCCCACGGTGAACGGGACACTGCCTGTAAGGGCGCATCCTCGCTCACCCTCCGCCTCGCCTGCACCAGAGAGCCGGCAAACCCACCACAGCCGGCAGTCGCTCAACAGCCTCGTCACCATCTCCTCAAATCACGTGCCAGAGAACTTCGCCCTGGAGCTCACTCACGCCACCCCACCAGTGGAGGTAAGAGAGGTCTAAATAATGTATATTACACTACATTGCATATATGCTGTACAGTGCTAAACTATATGTTATATCTGTATGCTATGCTTTACTATATACTATACTATATAATTTAACTACATTATACTGTAATAATATACAATGCTATTTTCTTGTACAGATACTAATGTACCTGCAACATAATACCAACTTGTTGATAATAATTCATGAAATATGATTTGATCTGTGTGATATGATTTCATTACTTTAATACTTTAAGTTATGATTGTTATACTTTTTATTTGTTTGTGCATAGTGTTTTTTTTCCATCCATTTACCCATCCATATTCAGCATGACCCCTCATTCATATCTCCCCCTGCCATGTGCTGCCTTGCTGTCTGGTCCACCATTATTCATTTTTTGTTTCCATTTTTTTTCTTTCCTTGTTTGCCCCCCTTCCCCCCTTTTTTTTCTTTCCTGTTCGGCTATAGCAAGTCTCACAGCTTCTGTCCATACTTCATCAGGGCCAGTACCAACCCAGACCCAGTTTCCGTGGCAACAAATACACTCGGAGCTACAGGTAACCAATCACATTTTAGCCTGCTGTGCTTAGAGAGCCTCCCGCAGGAGGTCCTGAGTTCTAGACCGAGGGTTAGGGCGCTCCTCTGAGAATCTGGGGGAAGTTAAGGTGCAGAAACTATATGACAGCCTCCTCCATCTTGTTAAGGGCCGGAGAGCCCATCTCCTTATGCAGTTGTCGGCTTCGTATGAATTGATTTATGGCCTCCTGCTAACTTACGGAGGTCCAATTGAGCTGAAAAATGATATGGAGGTGCATATTCCCACATTAGGCCCATCATAAACATATCGTCGCTGTCATATCAAAGCCTCGTAACATTTTTTTTTTTTTGGTTTATATTATTTTTATGCCATTTGAAAATGCCAGCTGGCCTTTTGTGAACATTTCATGATGAATGGACCATCAGAAATGGCCCAGAATTAACTGGACTAAAATATTGCTCCATTATAAGATGCATTAAAGTCAAGACTGTTTTTCCCTCTACTTACATTTAGCAGTTTGGAGAATGGTTTTGTTATGGCAGCAACAATAGAGTCATAGAAGTGAAGGCTCTTTGGAGCAGTTTTTGGTTATGGTTCAACCTTTCAATGGAAAAACTTTTCCAAAGAGCTCTTTATATGGCACCTTTATTTTAAGAATGTATGTGTGCATTATGTGGATTGCAGATAAATAAAAAAATTAAAAAATAAAATTGTTTTTACAAAAGAAGAACTGTGCACCAAACTGATTTTCTTCCTTCTCTCTCTCTCTCTCTCTCTCTCTCTCTCCCTCTTTCTCTGTGCAGGTATGCTCTAAATGAGATGGACAAGTTCAGTCTGAAGGACAGTGGCCGAGGGGACAGTGAGGCTGGAGACAGTGACTGTGAGATGGGCAGGGAGTCGCCTCTGCTGGGAGAAGGCTTCAGTGAGCTGTTTACACCTGATGGACAGCACAGACTACATCCAGGTATGCAGCAGAATATAGTTTTTAACTGTTAGCATATCTTAAGCTATAGTTTGTACATAACTACAAGTGGCTAAGTAGAAGTGCCAAAGTGATGGATTAAGTTTTTTAGGGAACACTTTATTGTAGGTCATGTTCATAGGGCTATATACCACCTACATAAGCGTTTCATGACAACTGATACAATCCTACATAAACATTTATAAACACCTATTCTAATAGGCATCATTTGTCATAAAGGTTGCATTATCTGATCCATATGAACATTTATAAACACCTATTCCAGTAGACATCAAGTGTCATTAAAGTTGCATTGTCTGGTCTATAACTTATAAGCTCACTTATAAGCACTTATTTAAATAGATTTCATGTGTCATAAAGGTTGCATTATCTGATCCATATGAACATTTATAAACACTTATTCTAATAGGTGTTATTTGTCATAAAGATTGCATTACCTGATCCATATGAACGTTTATAAACACTTATTCTAATAGGTGTTATTTGTTATAAAGATTGCGTTATCTGATCCATATGAACGTTTATAAACACTTATTCCAGCAGGCGTCATTTGTCATAAAGGTTGCATTTGCCAACTTTCATGTTAGATTGACACAACATCTGTGCCAGGTAACATTGAGTTAATCTGACATCAGGTTTGATTTTACACTTTTGCAGTCAGATTTAGGCAGTCTCATCATGAATGTTAGGTCACTGTGATATGCACTAAGCTACAGTTGTTATAATGTGCTAGAACATGTCATTTCACCCAGAAAACAGTCACAACACAAGCCACCGTGAGAAAAATCATTGTCCCGGATATACGTGTTAGTCAACTCAATATCAAAATTGACAAGAGCATCCTTTATAATAGGTAAGGCCTATTGGAATAAGCCTTTATAAATGTTTATGTAATTAATGCCAGTTGTCATGACTAGCTTGTGTAGCCTTACAAACACCCTACAGCAAAGTTTTACCGTATTTTCTCTCACACTTTAGCTAAGACCTAGGCCTTACATCTTGCTGCTATTGCTATTAGCCATTAGCCTCTCTAGCTACTGTCTATTTCGACTGCCATCCAACCTGCTTGGCATTTACCTCTCAGAGAATAAATCCAGCAATTAAAACAGTGCCGTTTTCACATTAAAGGCATCACTATGCACATATCTACCATCTTTTCCATTTCTGGAGCAAAAGCCTTCATGCCATACAGAGAGATGGTTTCTCTTTAAGATAAAGTCTGCAAACCAGGGCCAACGCTCTTATCTCATTATTGTGATTGTATGTGTGTGTGTATGTGTGTGTGAATGATCAGAGCATTTTTTGATGGAAAAATAGGAGCCTTGATCTGAAACACAATTATTGGTGCGTCTCGATTAGCGGAGTGCTTTTGGAGAGGGGGTTCGGGCCTTTGAAAAGCTGCTTTTTTCCCCCCCTTCCTTTTCTGTAAATCAGCTAGTTTAATCTTTCATTCTCTCCTTTCATCAGCGAGCGCACCAAATCAATGCCTTGCCGAGGCTCTGTTTTGCAAATGCTCCAGATTTAGTTTTTATTAGCTGTAAGATGTATTATAAATGGCCCTTTCAAAGCTAATGGGCCCATAATGAAGTCCCTGGGACATGAGTGAGCAATGGCGTACATGTTTAATGAAGGCTATAAGTTGGCATATTTGATTTGTATTATATATTCTTTAGAAGGGGCGGTGGGGAGAGAGAGAGAGAGAGAGAGAGGGGAGAGAGGGAGAGAGAGAGAGAAAGAGAGTGGGAGAGCTTTTATTCTGTTGTTCAGCTGTGAATAGACTTATTTGAATGGTTAAGAGGCTGAATTAATTTGGTGTTCCAGGTTTTATGCATTTTCTGCCAGTGAGTGCACTCACGGAATTAAATGGAGTTCAGAGGCGGTGGAAAAACATGTTGCATTAGCTATTATCTGAATCATTTTTTCCCCTCAAAAAGCCTTGAGAGGAAAATGGTGTTGAATGTTAGACTCGCACAGAAACAGCCATGCTTGCACGGGACTGTTTGTCCAAATTCTCATTGGAAAATGCACCATGGCCATGTTTTATTTTGGTCTCCCATCACTTATCTGTAAATGCTCATTTTGTTACTATATGGCGAAAGCTGGTTGATTATCAACAACATTGGGGTTAGGATTAGAACCAGGGTTAAAGTAAACTTTAGATTTGAGATCAGGGTTAGATTGAAATGTTCAGTTGAATTAAATAGACAAGAGTTTTTTTTTGTTTTTTTTTTTCAAATCTGGCCCCTTATTTTCGTTTCGTTTCGGTCTTTGGTTGGACTCTATGATAGGCACTAGAAGATCAATTAGTTACATCAGCAGGTCAATTAACTACCAGTAATTAGGAAAAGATTAATCACTTTTGTTTTGAAATTGCAATATGAAGGAGGAACCTGTCATAATGCAAGAACTGCAATTTTAATTACAACTGGCATTGACTTAAATTTTAAGTGAGGATATTTAACCTAATAACACAGAGCTTGCAACCCGCCTGTAGATGAGTTAGACCAATCAAAAAGAACCAAACCCCCATGTGCTGTGACATCACAACCACAACGAACTGATGGTCTGGCATATGTCCAGGGTTCAATCCCCAGCCAGAAAAAGGAGATATTCTAGTCTACTTGGACAAATTGACAGACTTGGTCATTCATTTAAAGAAGATAATTGCAATCACAATTAGTTCAGTTTCAAAATTGGTCAGAAAAATCACAATTAGACACCCAAATCGTTCAGCCCCACCAGTGTTTACTAAATCAAGGTCCAGGTTTGAAGACCTATGGATCGGTCAGTTAGTTAAATGTTAATTAAAGACTAAATGATTGTTCACAAATCACTTTATCGGCCATGCACACTTTTGTCTTGGTGAAATGGTGTCTACAAATATGGACACTACTGAAAAAAGTAGGCCCCCAAAATTTTGTTAACTAGCATCTTAAATTGAAGGAAGTATTGAATGTCAGTTAATAAAACAAGCTAATGATGTTTGTTTGTTTCCACACATTCAGCGATGAAGCTGTGTACGGACGAGTGCCGTGTCCTGGGTCACTCTGACCAGTGCTGGATGCCCCCTCTGCCCTCTCCAGCTTCTTCTGATTACCGTAGCAACCTATATATTCCCGGAGAGGACCCCCAGCAGAGCCCGGCGGCCCCGGAGGCCCCCCAGTCTGGGGAGTCCACCCTGAGGAAGAAGAGCTTCTCCACCTTCGGCAAGGAGAATGAGGAGGAGGGCCAAGAAGACGGCGAGGCAGGGAAAGGAGACGACCTGTGTGGGACCTCGTCGCTGCTGTCCGAAATGAACAGCGTCTTCCAGAGGCTCCTCCCATCCTCCTTGGACTCCTACATCGAGGTTGGCGAGACAGGAGCCGCTTCGACATGCCCAGCCGGATTTGGGTCGCTTGAAAGGAGGAAAGGTCACCTGCCCGGTAAACCTAGCCCCGCCACCTACCAGCAAGGTGTGGCTGCCTGGGCTGCCAACACACACTTCCAGAATCCTGGCCATGGCCATGCACCCGCCAGTCACATGACCGCTGTGGTGGCGCCTCTACCCGCGGCTCTACCAACACCTATCCAGGTGTCGACTTCCTGTTCAAAATGGTTGCCAGCCATGGAGGAGATTCCAGAGAACCATGAGGAAGATGAGCTGGAGTCCGTTCTGGGCCACCTACAGGGCAAACGCTGCGACAGCCGCAGCGAAATCATGGACGCCAGCGAACTCGTGGCAGAGATCAATAAACTCCTGCAAGATGTCCGGCAGAGCTAGAGATCAGGCCACTAGGGGTCGTATTTCATATTGAGATTTCTCAGTGAAGCTAGATAACTTACGATACCTTCATGTTGGTCCTGTTTCCTGCTTATGAAGTCATATGTACAAAGTATTTGCATTCAATTGCTTCGTAGTTGAAAGCATAGTTAGCTAGTTAGCTAGCTTGATTTACTTTGGGATCTTCCTAAAGTTTTCCCACCTTAAAATGTGCATAATGCAATGAAGATTTACGGTATGCAAACGTTTATAGCGTGATCATAACTGGTAAACATGGAAAAATAATTACTGACCACTGAGACCACCCTTTCCTCTGCGGTGCTGAAGGGGTCAGAAATGCTGGTTAGAAAATTGTTTTCTACTTGTAGTTATGGCTTTTAAGGGATGTTCTTGTGCAACTTTAAGGTGGGGAACTTGTATTTACGCTATGTTCCATAGCACATGAAGGCAGCATTAAGCCCAAAGTGAAGACTGCCAGATAAAAATGTCCTTTACCTCTTCTCAAAATGTTCAGGCTTGACTTATGGCTTAAGTTATCTGGGTAAACCAAGAAATTCTGATCTCCTGAGAGGAAAAAATATATAAATAAAGACATGCCATGTTTGTTTTTTTTTCTATGAATGGGAAAAGGGGTATTTAAAAAAAAATGATAAAGAAAAAAAATCAAAGACCTGCAATTGTCGTTAAAGTTGCGTTTCTGAACGTTACGTGTTTTGTGAATGCTAATTATCCAAATGATATATGGATTTCCTGCTTTTTTTTTTTGTTTTTTGTACACAGTGTACACGATGTGAGTGTATTTATCTTTGTATTTTAAAAATACAATTTGTAGTCTTTATATTTATAAAAAATGCCTGTGTACATACATTTAAGCAATCAGATTTCTATTTTTATATTTTGAACGCATGTTGGAAAAATAATCAAGGCCAACATGCCTTTGTAAATATTCCTATTTATGAAAAGCAACAAATTTGTTTTTTATGTTATTGTTACACATTATATATTATAAGTATATTGAGAATATTGTGTTATTGGGAGGGGAGCATGTTGGGGGTTTTGGTATTTATAATGGTGTATTCTTTATGTACTGTGTCAAACTTTGTTCATGTTAAATGAATGGGAAAATAAAAATGTTGGATCTGGTACAGAGGAGCTGTGTCTTGTTTTCTGACTCTATAATATGAGCACTGCACTAAAACGCCAGTGTTTATATGTTTTTGGTTGCATGTTTGTGGTATCATTTGTAATTCGGGGGCTTCCGACTGTGTGCTGGGGTGTTTGTTTGGTGTGCACTCTTTGTTGTGGAAAGTTCTCTTTTAAAACCAAGTGAGATATTTTTGGATCATCTGTATCTTCCAACTTCATTGTTTGAGCTCCCCCTGCTGGCCACACTGGAGAAGTTTATCCAATATGGTCACTATTCATCACCATTCATTCGATTAACAGAGGTTGAGTGTACGAGGTGGAAAAAAAAAGAAGAGAAATCAGGAAAGTTGAGAGTAACGAAGAGAAAAGGAGTCTTCAGTGCAGAATAAGAGATGAAACTGTATCTGTATTCGCACATATGGAAAGAAAATTAAAATGATTGCCTGTCAGTATGAGGCTGAGTCTGGCATGGCATGAAAAAATTCATTACGATCAGAGCCCCCTAGAGACAGCAAGGCAGAATAACACTCTAACTGCATCCTTCTGTGTGTATGTGAGTGTCTCTCTCTCAGAGAGAGAGAGAGTGTAGCATAAAATAGCAACCATCTCCATTACATTCTTACTACTTTAAAGGAGAATTCCACCACCTTTTACAAATTTCTGCATAATTCAATGATCGCGATGTAAACAAAGTCAGATTTAGTTATAGGTTTAGGTTCAATGTAGGGAAACATATTGACTTGTATTTCTCGTATTCTAATATTACAGTGGTGGTGATAGGAACCAGGGGTCGGCATGACTACAACACAAATATATCCACTTTATTTACTATCCAAATCTACCAGCGAACCTAAGTATGTTTAAAGCCAAACTCTTCTCAAAACTATCGTAAAACAGTCTCTCAGACATCAGGCAGTGTATTCATAACCATTTCATGTAATAACTTTGTGTGAGGGAGCTTTTAGAGGTGGACGTCTGGTTCCTATCACCACCACTGTGAACCATTCTGACTCTAGAACAGAATGTTTCACACTAAACCACTCTAAATGACTCTGTTTACATCTTAACCGTTTAAATATGTAGTAACTGCTTAAATGCTAACAGTGAATGGATGTGAACAGTTACCATCTAGCATTAGGCAAATAATAATGGTTGATAAGAATGAAGTTTCCATTCTTTGTTAGCCAAGTTAACATATTTGGTTGAGTGACGTCTTTCAACATGCATAGTGTGTTGATATTGTTTAAAATTGTATGTGTGAGAGTGGAAAGCTTTTTTCAAGTGGGTTAGTTTTAGTGAGCAGTGAATGTGGAGCTCAAATAAAGAGGAAATATGAAATTCTGCCTTGTGAGACTCTCAAGGAAGAAAATAATTTTTTGTACAAAAAAATGTTTTTAGTATGTAGTTGTCAGCCTTGACATCTATGAAAAGAAATAAAAAACTCTCTTTCTTTTTCTCCATCACACGCACACACACACACACACAAACACACACTAGTAAAATCTTTCAACATTGGCCTTAAAAGTTAAGAACATTTTTGCTTCTCCTGTAAACTTTTCATTTTGGAAGGGTTTTTCTTTTAATATTTATATATATATATATATATTTTTTTTTGCAAAAGCAATGATATGTAAGCACTTATATGTGACAATAGCATTTCACAATAATGTGTTCCATATGTGTTGTCTGCAGTGAGGAAGAACAAGATGATGCCATTATTTCTGCTCAAGGAGATGCTCTTATACTGAACAAAAACAGAAAAGGCCGCTAACTAACAGCAGGAAGGTCACTTCTAGCCACTTAACTTCTCTCTGTGGTAGATACACAAACCCACACTAACTACCCCCAACACTATAAAACAAACTTAACACATGCATACATCTTAAACCAGCAACGACGACAACATAAACAATAACAGCAACAACAAATGTCCTTTTAATGGATGGAAGGCGGCACAGAAACATGGGAGCAGGTGGCAGATTCCACAGTATTAAATGTTTATCATTGCTGTCATGACAAAACCTCGTAACTCCAAAAAGGTACATTTATAGGAGGAGAAAATCACTGGGACTTTCAAATAATGTCAAAAAATTGAAAACATACAAAAATAGAGATACAAGATTTTGTTCTCACAGCAATAATATAAGTATCTATGTATAATGATAATACATTCTATATTTTTATTTTGTGTATATAAGTACATATATATATAGATATAGTATGTTCTATATGTATTATGCATATGTGAGTACCTATATCTATTATGTGTTTGTAAGTGCCTAAATATTGTTTGTTCTATATGTATTATGTACATGTAAGTACTTATATATTAGTATGTTCTATGTACTATGTGTATGTAAGTACCTATATATAGTATGTTCTACATGTACTTTGTGTATGTAAGCACATATATGTAATAGTAATATGCTCCACATGCAGTGTATGTATATGTATGTATCTATGCACAATAAGAATGTTTAAATTCTAGGCCCAAATCTAACTCTAATCTTGCCTGGTAATATAAAAATGTACCGTGTCTTTTGTAAAAAAGCATTGTGTTGGTCCTGTAGGCTAGCCATGTTTTTTCTCTGTGGCAGATGTTTTGGAGTTGTCACTGATAAAGCATCGTAAAAGAAGACTTTTACATTACAGACATGTTACACCTGCACTGACAGAGGGAGAGGAAGGACTCTGATTTTTTAGAAGGTCAAGGTTATGGTTACATTTAGAAAATTCTTATTAGAAATTGACACAATATAAATTGGCTATAGTTATTAATTGGCTATAGTATTATAATTATAGCATATGAAACGTTAATAAAAAGAGAAAGCAGTGATTACTCAATCCCGTCATCTAGAAATGTGTAGTATCACTTTCAGAAAAAAAATCCCCAGAATGGTTCTTTAACTTTGTAAGTTTATTTTAAAAGATTTAGCATTTTTTGACTGCTTGGACTATGATATATTGTAGTGTTCACTGCTATCAAAGGAGACATGGCTTTTGCGTGAGTCTTTTTGCTATCATTAACTCTAAACTGTCAGCACTAGACTCGTTCTCAACTACACATGAACACAGCCCGTGGGTTAGCCCTGCCTTCAAAATAAGAGTCCTTATAGAATAACCAAGCGAATAAATAATGTAGAATAATTAAACTAAAATTACTGTGTTAACAACATTTCTTGAACAGTATCTTTCATCATTAATGGTGCCTTCACAGATGTATAAGCTATTCATACTAAACCCCACCCCCTGCATTTTGAACTTTATGCTGGTAACATTCCGGATCCTTTTCTTTTCTTATTTTCATAAACAATCTTAAAGCTTGGCTCATCAGACCACAGTACATGTCACCACTGTGTCCATTACAGATTAACTCAAGCCCAGATTACATTCTTGACCCCTTATTTTATATTAAGGCTTATTATTTAGTAACTACAGGGACTTGAATGCAAGCTGGCAGAGCTATTCTAAGATTATAGAAGTGGACCTGGCATGTAAGGGGTTAACTTGCATTTGTGGATGCAGTGACAAAGTGTGTTTATTGACAATGATTTGTGAAAGCATTCCCAAACATATGGACCAGCACACCCCTTTTCAATGCAGTAACATTTGAGGGATCCAAGATCAAAGACATTCAGTTGTGGTTTTCAGCCTTGCCCTTCACACACAGAGATCTCTCCAGATTCCCTGAAGATATTATACACTATAGAGGATCAAATACCTAAAATTTTGCTATCACTCATTCAGGAACAGTGTTCTCGAAATGTTGGATTATCCTCTGATACATTTTTGGACAAAATGGTGAGCCTCAGCCCTTCCTCGCTCATAAAGGACTAGGCTTTTCCTGGATGATCCTTTTATACCCAAGCATGACTGTGTCACCTGTTTCCTACTACAGTCTTGCTAGTTTTGTCGGTCCTAATATTTGAATGGAGGTTTGTACATATTGAGCATGTGTATGACCTGATATACTGTGTGTGTTCATGCAGGTCTATGTGTGTGTGTGTGTGTGGTGATTTCTCTATCACTGTTTTTCAATTACTTATTAATTCAGTTGTAAATAGCATATCATGCTTTAGGCCAAACAGTGTTTCTTAATCAGTTAAACTGAGCCAATTTAACATCGCAATAAAAAACTCCTGCGCTGTAGCCTGAGCTCCATGCACTGCTCGGCAATACGGGGAAAATATCAACTCAATAATTTTGTATAATTCATGAAAATAACTGCTGCCATCCTGCACAGTGTCAAATGAAGGCACTCTGATTCTGCATATTAATTTGCCTCATTAATTCTCCACTAACAAGCATGCATATTAATGATGGTCTCTCAAGGCATAGAGGTTGAGACAATTTCCAAACATTTTACTGTTTCTAGGGTCACCTGTGCCTTCTGCATGTAAAAGTGTTAGTAAAGTCAGAATCCTCCAGCAGAGGCATGAAACCAAGCTTAGCTGCCTCCAGAACGGAGAGAAACTGCAGCCTAGTGGCAATTACAACAGTCTTTATGATGGAGCTGGTGATTAATAACATCATTAGCCGTAATTGCAGCGGTGGGACCAGCTGGTCATCCTGATAGGCATAAATTTAAAGTGATATCAAGTGACGATTACAATGAGGGAAGATAAAGGTAGTAATGATACACTAATCATCATGATCATTAACATTATATGGGCTGGACGAGGAGTAAATACACTGTATCTGCTAAACACATGTATGAGCAGGCCTACAGTACAGCAGGCTTTACACTAGCAAGACTATTAGCAGGCTAAAATTGCTAAGTTGGGGAAGTTGGGCGGGGTGCACTTAATTGTTTTCATACATTGTCTTGACAAAGTGCTGCTCACTTTTTAAGTTGTTTTTAACAAAATAAACATGTTTTCATGATCACATATTTGGTTAAAAGACAGAACTGGACTCTGGAGCAGTGAAAACGTATTCTGTGGAGTGATGAATTCCACGCTTCTCTATCTGGCAGTTTGATGGGCAAGTCTGGGTTTGGCGAATGCCAGGAGAACGTTACCTGCCTGACTGCGCTGTGCCAACTGTAAAGTTTGGTGGAGGAGGGATAATGCTACGGAGTTGTCCTAGGCCCCTTAGTTCCAGTGAAGGGAACACTTAATGCTTCAGCAAACCAAGACATTTTGGATGATTGTATGCTTCCAATTTTGTGGGAACAGTTTGGGGAAAGCCCTTTTATGTTCCAGCATGATTGAGCCCCAGTGCACGAAGCAAGGTCCATAAAGTCATGGCTGGGTGAATTTAGTGTGGAAGAACTTGACTGGCCCTCACAGAGCCCAGACCTCAACCGCATCAAACACCTTTGGGATGAACTAGAACAGAGATTGCGAGCCAGACCCTC